CTAATTGCTACATAGGAAAAGTGGCTGAATTGAAGTGGCAAGTGGGCTATTGTTACAATTTATTTTCCTTGAAGGTCGTCTGGCAAGGTTAACCTTGGACTTCAGTGAATGAATATGACCAATTATGCAATGGCCACAGAGAGACCCACTGTTGTTCTCCTCATGGAGATCTATTGTGAATCTGACATTCAGAAACTGTTAACATTTTTTTGCAAAGCTTGCTTTGTCAAGTGAAGAAGAAAGTTTAAACTGTGCTTTAAGAAAAGAGAGAAGCTGATAAACATAGAATTATATTTTACCTGTACATACATAAATTTTTAGATATTAGTGTAGATTTTTTGTCAGATTAGATATTAATCTGCACATAAATTGAAATATACAAGAAATATTGATAAAACAAGCATTATTATTTGAGAAGCTTCAAAAGAAAAAGGAACAAAAGCCAAATAAGGCAGCACAATATCAACACTATAAAAATCCTACTTCCTTAGTTCACAACATCACTGCATCACAGCATCATTCTGGTTGGAAAAGACCTTCAGGGTCATCAAGTCCAACCAACACCCTAACTCTGACACATCCACCACTAAACCCTGTCCCCTGGCACCACATCTGTCTTTTTAGATGTCTCCAGGGATGGTGGCTCAACCACCTCATTGGACAGCCTGGATTACCAAGTCCAGCTCCCACTCCAGAATGGGACAACCCCAAAGTTCACACCATGTCCCTGAGGGTGTTGTCCAAATGTTTCTTGAATATTGTCAGACTTGGAGCCATTACTGCTTCCCTGGGGAGCTTATTCCAGTGCTCCACCACTCTCTGGGTGAAGTATCTCTTCCTAATATCCAGCCTAAAACTCCCCCTGCACATCTTCCTACTCCATTTATTACTTTTATTAGTATTTTTATTATTTTTTTATTAGTTACCCATTTATTGCTTACATTGCGCTTTTTTTTTTTTTTTTTTAAATTTCTTATGGTCTGAATGGAGAAGAAAAAATAGGGACTGAATAGAACACTTTCACTGTTAGAGTGCTTTTCCATTATTTTATTTTAGCTATAATTAGCAGATAGCTAATGGAAATAATGAGCTAGAGTGAAAATTCAATATGAGTTTAATGAGAATGCTATATTAGATGTAGGAGAAAGAACAAAAACTGATGAGCAAAAACTTATAATGCTTTTTAATACCTATGACTCCTCAAGCACATCTGCTTAAATATCAGCTGCAGTCACTACTACAGGGCAACCTAGACAAGAAAGGTAGGTGACTTGAAGAGATTAAACAGAGATTACAGCTCAGTGATTAATGTTTTATCAAAATTTATGCAGCAGGAAAACATTAGAAAACACCTGCAATTTACGGAAGCCTGAACAAAGAAACTGAAAGAATTTATTAAAAATTATTGTCCACATTTTAATAATTGACTTTATTAGCATTGCTAATTATTTATATTGATCTGAGAGTAGATTCCAGTCTATTCTGCTCTGTATTACAAAATCTACTGTCTATATAAAACAATGTTATTAAATATCACTTTTGTTCCCTTCTTGTAGCTTGGTACATAAGTTTTAAGAATGTTTAATTAGAAACAGTCTGCTGACTGGCTTCCTGATTTCTTTTTAGAAAGATGTTAAAATAGTAAATGAAGGTTTGATTACAGATTGGGAAGTATCTGATTGCAGTATTTCAGAAACTTTACAAAAATATTTGTTGATCACTGTACTCTTGGCCAAAGGCCCAATTCTTCCTATTTAGGATCTAAATATTAGTTCCAACCAAACATTTTATTACAAATCAAAGCACAAACTAATTTTTTCAGACTTGGATCTCAAACAAACCCAAAACAAACAACAAACCCTGTTTATTAACTAAAAGACACAAAAGTTCTTAAAAAGTTCTTATGGACCAAAAATCTCAATGTTCAAATCAATAAACAGAGCATACATTTTCACAGGCTGCCATAAATGACACATAGTGATCTATTAGACTTAGAGACAATAAAGTCCAGAGACAAGTGGTTGGTAAAGATAGTTAACAGCTTTAATTGTTGTGAGATGCCTAATGAAAATATCCAGCTTAAAGGTGTTTACCTACCTGCAAAACTCATATTGCTGTTGTGCTCAACCGTGTTCCAAATCCAAAACAGAAGTATAACAATATTTTTTTTCCCTTCTTTTAAATTCTAGGTGAAATGCTGATGAACTTAAATTTGTTTGAATTGATCAATGACTCACTGGGATAATGACATATGCAAAAGATTTGAATTTTATGTGTAGTTTCTTTCAAACCTTGACAGTGATCACTAAACGTCCTGTATCAGTAAGCTTCCCAGACTATGCCTTGTTCTTTGGAAGTTCTAATCTTCTGCATAGTAAATCTGCAGTACCACATATTTTATTTCATTAAAATGTGGTTTTTGCACCAGGTCTTGATCTTTACAGCTGATTTATAGAATGAATTGTGATTACTTTGGAATCTTTATTAAATAAGTATGTTTCAGTAGAAGTAATTCCATAAAATTTAAAACATGAGATTACGGCATTCACAATTATACCTTTTGTCAGCAAGTAATTGTGAATATTCTAATTTTCTTGCTGTATCTTGTAGAATTGCCACTCATTCAGAGCCCAGTTAAGTCATAATATATAGATCGAGTAGAATCTAGTGATCTCACTACTCAGAATAATAATTCCTGATCAGGGAGATAAAATTTAGCATAGATAAGACTGTTAATATGGAGACCTTGTGTTGGATCATTTGTTCAAAGGCAAAAACAGACCAAGAGATGGAGCTCATGAAGATTTCTTCCACAGTTATGTTGCTAAGTGAGTGGATTTAGCTTTTTCACTGAATCTGGATCATTTTAGGCTTTCAAACTGCATTAAATTCCAGGAACTAGAGAGTCAATGGCTACAGCAAGAACTGTACCCGGCCATGGGCCCCACAGGAAAAAAAAAAATCAGCCTTCTGCTCAGTTACAAATGGAAATGTCACTTGAAGCACTTCTGTCAACCAACTTCTGGTTGTATGGAGGAACACCTAAGGAAGCAATACAACTTGGAAGAGGTAAATGATAGCAGATCCACAAGTTAACTGGAATTTTTTATTCTTTGTAGAGGAGACGGTCCCTGTTGTATTGAAACTTTTCTAACAAATGTACCTAAAAGGAGCAAATTACTTTTCTGGGCAGGCAGACATACTAAGTCTTAGCAAATACACTAAGACAACATGCACTTGGTACAAGCATTCTAGAAGAGGAATAAACTTTGTCAGAAAAGAAAAGAAAAAAAAATAATAGAATCACAGAATCACAGGGATGGAGCTTCCACAACATCTGTGCACAGCCTGTTTTAGTGTCTCACTACCCTCACACTAAAGAATTTCCTCCTGATCTATAACTTAAGTTTTCTGCTGTTCTATCCTTGTCCTTGCTCATTATTTAATCAGAATGTTTTTAAAAACTCATCATATGGAAGTTTCTAATTGCTTTTAGCTGGGATTATTATCAGCAGTGTATAAAGAGAACCCGTTTTTAGAGATGTGCCCATCATGTCAGATTATTCCGTTTTAAAAAATGTTTTACACAGTTCCCTTCCAATGGTTCTTTCTCAGAGTGCCCAAAACACAGAAACACACATGCTACCTCCAGAGATTTACTCTTCCTCTACCAAAATAAGGGTATGTTTCCCCTTCTCCTCTACAAACAGTCTCTTATTCCTGTTTAAAGCATACCGTAAGTAGAGGAAGAACTGACTTCCCTTGAAATTGATATTCCTTTCACCCCCAGCTGCCTATAAACAGTAGAACTAGGGGAACTCCCCTGTATGACACAAGACACTCCCTGAACAGCTGACTAAAAATTAAGCTGAAAACACCCCAAGACCTTCAAAGATTTGAAATAGTTCAATCAGCTTTTTACGTTCCATGTTTCATCATTTCCTGCTCCGGTCTCTGTCAAAATAAGCAAATATCAAAAGCTGCAAATACAAAAAATGTACCTCCAGATCATATTTGTATGAGGGAGGTTTTAACTTCAGAGTTAGGTTACGTTTGGACAGACATCAAGTAATTGCCAAAATGCTTTACTGGTCTTAGATTAAAATGGGATTTACACGTGGAGATCAGAGAAACTATAATGAGTTTTCTTGGAGATAAGAGGAAAAGATCACGTAATGAAAACAGTTAGCTGTGTAGCTACAGCATAGAGGCATCAGTCTCAGAACATTTGATATTATCAGCATCTTTGTAATATTGTTCTGTTATATCTTGTCAATAAGGACAATGCAATTCACACCTGTGCTGTTTCACTCGACCCAAAGAACCAATATGGCATGAAAAGTTACTCGTTTTTCCTCCTCAGAACAAAAGAAATGGCATGAGAGGAAAATAAAACTCACCTGAATGAAATAGCTTTTGCAGCTAATGAGGACAGATGTACTCTCTTGCTTTCATCAGTATTGCACAAATGAACAAAAAAGGACTTGCTTTTATCTTTTTGACTAATGCCATACAAGTCACTTTAAGTGGTTCTTTCACATATATTACCAGAAAGAAGATAAAATTGCTCTGTGTACTTAAAGACCATTTGCAAGGTGACAAATCTATTCTAGTGTACAATCTTGTAAAGCCCAATTACATCTGGCATTTAACCTGCACTGCTTAAAATATGTTTAACATACAGAGCTGGACAAAACTTATTTAGTCAAACATATTCTGTTAAACTGTTTAACTGAAGCCTTTTTGAAACAAGTAACCGAAAATAGAGAAAAAACCAAAAACAATAACTTATTTTCAGCTGTCTGCATCTCTGAACAATTTTAAGATTTTTCATTTCAATATTGTAGAAACAATAATGTCTCTACTGTCAGACAAATCAGCTTGACAAAATACCTATGCCATACCCATACAAGAAAAAAATGCATGTTCTTGTCACTTGTGTTTTATCACAGAATCAAATACACAAACACAGTATTTAGTTTACTGAACAGACTTCTGACCTCTTACTTTCCTTTAGTGCTTTATCTCCTTTCTTCCAAGTGATAGTTGGCTTTGGAGAGGCTTCTGGTTTGCACTCAATGACAACTTCCTGGCCTTTGGTAATAATTATTGTTTTCCTCATTTGATTTAGTGGGAACGTGGGAGCTGAAGCTGATATATAAAAAAAATAATAAAAAAAGTTTAAAAAGGTACATTAACTCTACAAGGATCAATCACATCTTCCTGTTTCATTATGTTCCAACAGAAGATTACAATAATATATTTGGTTTTGGGGTCAGAATCTCAATTTTTCGCTTGGAAAATATTATACTACAGATTGGGTGGAATTTTACCAAATATTTAAAATCAGCAGCCAAAACTAGATGGCAGGTCTGTAACTTAATCCAGTAATGAATTAGTGACTTTTCCTTCATGACAACATATTAACAAAGATTGTTTATGAAATCCAACAGGTTTAGAAATTAAATGCTATAGTTCATTTAGATAAACCTTTAATTTTTTTTTTTTATAACGTAGGTAACTGGTTAGAAGTAATGAATTCAAAATGAAGTATAAACTCCATAGCTATCCAAAATGCACTCTCTAGAGTTAATTGTTACACTGTTAATTTTTAAACGAGTTTTGCAAAAATGAAGCCCACCCCCACTTCTCAGCTACACATAAAGGAATATATTACACACCATTGCCTCAAATATATAGGAATTTCCTACCATTATTTTGGGTAATTTTCATACCAGATACATTTATCTGGACAATTTATTAAGTTCTTTTCCCTTTAGTAATCCAGAAAATTAAACTCAACTGCTTCTTTAATGTAACATTATGGTTAAAATTTAACAGGGGTACAATTTCTAGAGTGACAAAATGAAAGGTGGATTTCACTGCAGCAACATATAATGGCCATTTCCAATATTAGAGAACATCACAGAAAGTGTACAACTACCTGATATAATAGGCATACTTATTATATAATAGATATAAAAAACAGAGCAGGAGAACACTGTAATCAACAGGGATCCCTTCACTGTCTGAATCACAAATAAAGGAAAATGATGGAAAGAACCAACCACTGTGGGTTTAAATTTATGGCTAGATAGAATTATTTTTTAGAGTTATCAGTGAAATTCTAATATTGGCCAGCTAGGAAATAGTGGAAATGTACTAGATAGTTTATTTTCCAGAAGAATCAATAGCTCAAATGTAGTATATTATTTCAGTAACTTCAGCTTTATTTTTTTTTTGAGAGTTTACAAGTTTGATGCCCAGATGCAGGTTTTGAAATTTGCAAGTTTTGAGTAGTGCAGAGACCTGTAATCACTGATATGGCCATTGAATTACTTTGACAGACGGCTGTCTTCCGCCTATATTATCCTGTAATAGAGATCATGAGACCCCGCAAGTCTGTCTCACTTAAACCTCACTTTTATCACTACTGTCCCATTGTGCGCAACCACAGATTGTTTTGATGAAAATTTGTGTTGAAAAGACATGCATCAAGATTTTCTTCATTAACTTCAGCTTTTCACTAATTAAATTTTTATTATATTTCCTGGTAGCATTGTGTAGTATTTTTATTTTACTGTGGATTATACTAATTGAAACATAATTTCCTGTATTCAGTCAGCTCTGGTGACTTCTTTGGAATTTTTTTACACCTTTAAAACTAAGATCATTTTTAATTACCTTTGAATAATGGCCTTGGTATAAATAATGATTCCATAAAAAAAAATTCAAAATTACTAAATTTAAAAATATTTACTTTCTTTAGGTTTCTTCTGCATTTATTTTTAAAGGAGTAAAAACTATGTTTGCATGTATTTGAACTGAAATAGCTGTATGTGAGCAATAATAATAAAATGTAATGGAGTCAGTAATTTATTAAATAAACATTTTCTGTCAACCGAAGGACTTGTGCTGCTTGGGCAACAAAGGAACCACTCACACATGAATAATAATAAGAAAAAGAAACCAAATTTTATCTGCTCTGCTAAGTTTGGACTGGCAGAAGCTGTTTCTTATCATAACAGAACAAGAACAAATGTAATTACGAAAGGGAAAAAATGAACAGCCTGCTCTTTTCCGATAATACTCACCTAAAATCTTTAGCTCGGCACTGGCATAAGTGGTACCATACTTGTTTTCTGCTAAGCACTGATACATGCCAGCATCTGAGAGATTGACATTGTGGATCATCAGAACACCATTAACCATCTCAATTCTGTTCTGTAATGGAATAATAATAATAAAAATCTATGAAAGCAAACAGGCACTGGAAGTTTGCTGTGCTATTAGCTTAAGGCAAAGGCATAAAAGACATTCTAAAGCTAAAATAAAACCGAGCAACAAATGTTTTTTGATTAACTTTTTTTTTTTTTGTTATACAAGGATTAGCAAGAAGGCAAAACGGCAGAAGGCAAAAAAACCTCCAAAAATAGTTAAAGGTAAATATTTTTCAGTGCAAGTTCACTATTTCTAAGGCTGGCTTTTTTTTTTTTTTTTTTTTTCTTTTTTTCCCCCTTCTTCTGTTTGGTTGTTTCTCTGCTATGATGTGTACATGTTTTTTCCACCCATTTCATCCTAGGAACTTCAATGAGGTAAGAAATCAGTTACTGATGTAACATACCTGATAACAAAATTTCTAGCAAATGTTTGGTTTCAGTCATTATATTATTTTCATAAATATAGATATAAAAGATTGCTTGCATGAGTAAGAATGAAAGGGTCTAATCTCCTTCATTACCAGTGCAGATTTCTTATTTGAAAGGTCCACTAAAATAAAATCATTACCACAGCAGGAAGAAGAAGGAATTAATAGTTGTCTATGGAAATGTGTAGTTTGTGGAACTGTATAACGACTAATTTAAACTGCTATAAAACATCTCTAGATTTCATTGTTACAGTTGTTGTAGCTTTAATTAAAAATCAATAAAGATTAAAGCGAGAATGCAGAAGAAACTGTGTAAAAATTTCTCTCTGTTTTAAGTCCCCTGTTTAAATTTATATTTGAAGTTTTTCAGAGTCTGGTGCAACTAATAGCTTGGAAAATCAGAAAACCAAAAAGTACAGATATTTAAATTGCTTCAATTTCAGGACTAATAGCTTCATCTAAAAAGGTAGAAATGGATAAAGTAAAAGCATATAACCCTATTTTCAATTCTTCACAGCTTAAAAAGCTGTGTTTATGTTCTCTTGATCATTGTTTGTATAGTTGGTTGATGTTCACAGATAGAGGCAACATTCAGTGACATTCCATCTTTTATCCATTCTGTGAGTTTATTTACAAATTGAGACATTTTCTTTCAGAATTGAACAGCTTTAATTAAAAAAAAAAATAAATAATAAAATGAATGAAATAAATTTAGAAGTTATTTGTACTCTAAATAATTTGAGACTACAAAAAATGGAAAGGTGATGGGCAAAAACCCACATGTGCTGGTCATTGTGTGAGAGGAAACAAAGTGAAATAAAAGGCAGGTCATGCCATGAGTGGTCTTTTAAAAGGAAAAGAGAATTTTATCTAGATCTATTTCAAAACATATCAAGTGACTGTAGTTGAAGACTTAACATTCCAGGAGTCTTACATGAAGCATTTTAATGGTCTTCAGGGTGAATTCTGTTACTTACAGAGATTGAATGAAGTTAAAAAACTGATGCAAATATAATATTCATTGTGGCTCTATAATTAGCCTACTAGTGTTTTGAAGAGTAGAATTATATAAAATAAAATCTGCAAATAACAAAATGTTAAGATTGGGAAAAATGCAAAGGAATCTGATACAGGATATGAAGCACTTGTCTGAGTCATTGCTACCTTTTTTGACAGAAAAAAAATGCAAACAGCATAATACCATTATCTAAAAGAAAAAAAAAATTAAACTGACAAGATTGTTTAGATGTACACTATAGTTCAAAGGCAGATGATGTTGCAGACACAGCTCAGAAGGTGCACTCTCCCATGTATTTCTGAACTACAGAGAAATACCAATGAATGCAATTTTTCGCTGCTTGAGGGGGTTCAGAGGGGACACACATAGAAAATCTGTCTGTATACTAACACTTCAGAAACGAACACAAAACCTAGTCATTTCTGAAGTACTTTTTAAACTGATTTTATCTGAAGAGAAGGAGAAACATGCAACATACTGGTGACTCCTCGTCTAATGTACCTGTGGCCAGAGAGGAACTCCATTTTTTAGCCAACGATATGTGGGCCTTGGCTTTCCGGTGGCTTTGCATTCCCATCGGAGCTGATCTCCACTGTCTAACTGAGTATCATTCAGTTTCTCCACCCAATTTGGGTAGGCTGCAAGAAAAAAAATACCATGCTATACACAAAACTTACAAACTGTTGAATCTCTAAATTATCTGTAAAGACTTAACCAAGTAAAGAGCTTAAATATGCCCATTACTGAGCTTAGTTTACTCTCAGAAAGAAGCACATTTTTAAAAAATTACCAAAACCAAAAGAGAAAGTAATAAAATTAGCACAACTTCATAACTTCATAACTGATTTAATGGAAGGTGTTCCTGCCCATGCATGGGGCAGGTACTAGATGATCTTTAAGGTCCTTTCAAACCCAAACTATTCTATGATTCTATTATTCTGGGATAACTTTAAAGGAATGCTGTATTGGCACTAGGCAGTGAGCAATGTCATGACAAGGAACAGAAATCTGCCTGATTTAATAAAGTGACTATACTATGTATAAATGCATTCATTATTACTAAATTTAAGAACGTTTGCTTGTTAGACACGATAGAATACTTAGTAACTTTTCAAGACCTAAACTATTTAAATGTTAGTAAGGAGGCTGATCATCATAGACTCTCTTTGATGTAGTTTTCTCAGTTTACTAGGAAATAATGATTTATTGAGCTAGGAATGACTGGGTATTTGGTAAGTTATTTCCACATATTTTTGTTAATGTATCTTGAATTTAACTCAATTTCAAGGGAGAAAATATTTTTAACTATCTTAAGATAGGAAACAAAAGCATTTCCAGCATTCATCAGGAACATAAAGTACACAGTAAATAAATGTTAAAACAGGCTTTTTTTAAAGGTAGACAGTTGTTAGGTGTCTATGTGATCATTAATACCTAAATTTCATGTAATAATCTATTAAAAGCAAGGAATATTTTTTGCAGAGCATCATAGAATGGTTTGGGTTGGAAGGGACCTTAAAGGTCATTTAGTTGCAACACCCCTGCATGGGCAGAGAAATCTCCCACTAAATCAGGTTTCTCAAAGCCCCATCCAACTTGGTCTTAAACACTTCCAGGGCAGCCACAACTTCCCTGGGTAGCCTGTGCCAGTGTCTCACCATTCTCATAGGAAAGAATTTCTTCCTAATGCCTAACATAAATCTCAGCTCTTCTAGTTTAAATCCATTGACCCTAGTTCTCTTGCTACATGCCCTTGTAAAATTTACCTCCCCAGCTTTCCTGTAGGTCCCCTTCAGGTAATGAAAGGCTGATATGAGGTCTTCCAAGAGCCTTCTCTTCTTCAGGCTGAACAACCTCAACTCTCTCAGCCTGTCTTCATAGGAAAGGTGCTCCAACCCTCTGATCATCTTCATGGCCTTCCTCTCAACTCACTCCAATGCCTCCATGTCCTCACTTGAATGTTCTAGAACTGGAGACAGTACTCCAGATAGGGTCTCACCAGAGTGGAGTAGAGGGGCAGCTCACAATATAGTTGGCTTTTTGGGCTGCAAGCACATATTGATGGCTCATGTTGAGCTGCTCATCAACCAACACCCCTAAGTCTTTTTCCTCAGGGGTGTCCTCAATCCACTTTTCTCAATTAAGCAGATGATGCCAAGTTGAGTGGGGAAGTAGACCCTTCGGAAGGGAGAACCACCCTCCAGGAGGACCTGGACAGGCTGGAAGAGTGAGCTAACAAGAACCTTATGAAGTTCACCAAGGACAGGTACAAGGTCTTACACCTGGAAAACATAACTCAGGAGTGCAGTTCAGATCAGGATCTACCCAGCTGGGGAGCAGCCCTGTGAAAAGAGACCTGGGGGTCCTGGTGGAGAAGGTTAACATGATTGAACACTGTGCTGCAGGAGCAAAGAAAGCCAACAGGATGATGGGCTGCATCAGCAAGGGCATCACCAGCAGAGATAAAGAAAGCACCATCCCACTCTACTCAGCACTTGTCAGACCACACCTAGAAAACTGTGTTCAGCTCTGGTCCCCACTGTTAAAAAAAACAAACATGCAAACAGGCTGGAGAGTCCAAAGAACAGCCACAAAGATGAACAAAGGAATGGCAAGCCTGCCATATGAGGGAAGGCTAAGTTTGTTCAGCATAGAGAAAAGAAGGCTTAGGGGAGATCTTATTGCTATGATCCAGTACTTAGGGTGTGGTTACCAAGTGGATGGGGACTCCTTTTTTATAAGGATTCACACGGAAAACATAAGGGGTAATTGGTGAAAGGTAATCCTGGGGACATCCTCATGGAACATCAGAAGAAAATTTCACTGTGACAATAGTTAGACTTTGGAAGTCTCCCCAGGGAAGTGGTGGACACCACTCAACACTGAACAATTTAAGACTCAGCTTGAAAAGGCACTGAGACATTGCATTGAAACCATCTTAATACCTAGAAAGGTTGGATCAGATGATCCTTGAAGTCCCTTCCAACCTGACATTCTACAATTCTCAACCCAACCTGTTATTTTGCTTGGGATTGCCCCAGCCCACGTGCAGGACATTTCATTTGTCTTTATGGAACAGTAGACATGGACCCATCTCTCAAGCCTGCCAAGGTCCCTTTAGATGGCTTCCAACCAGAATCTTACAATTTGGAAAACTTTATATGACTCAGTGAGGAACTGAGCATTCATATGCAGACATAAAAATGTGTTCTTAAAAGCCAGCTTTTGTGTTTTCATACTGTAGACATATTCATTTGTACAGCAAAGAGGATGATAGATTAAGTTAATTAAATTGATGATATCAAATGTTGGTTTGTTTGGTGTTTTTTCAAATACTAGAGAATAAGTAGCTAAAAGGCCTTCATTGCTAAAGACATACAAAATTCTTCTGCTTGGAATGAATAGAAGTCCAGATCTGTCACAACAAAGTCTTTGCTTCAAACACCAGATAATTGATAATGTACTTAAACATGGGGAGCTGAGTTTAAAAAGAAACCTTTGAACATAGCTGGTGTTTGACAGGTCACCAATCAAAGGCGTGAGAAGATATGAAAAGGCATGGCAGGTGACTAACTGCTTTTAGCTTACATCTCATGCATGGATGATAAAGAAAGTGTACGAGATGTCTATCATTCCTAAGCAGAGAACAGTCTGCCTCAGAGTCCCTGACAAGACAGTTGTCAGCAGCTGGAAAATATTAGAAAAAGAATCACTCATTTCCCCTTTAGTAGAGAAAAAAAAGATAAGTTTGAACCAACCTCACTCTCAAACCCAACACCAAAAACCTCTGCTCCCTTGTTTTTCTCATTACAGTCAAGGCAATGCATGACATGCTCCACATGTGCTCCTCTGCACTGAATGGCTTGATTCTTAAGTTATATCAAAGGGTCCCATGAAATGCTCAGAAGTAGTTTATGGGCATCCCTGCTCACTTGTTGTATGCTAATTGTCCTAAAAATATAGTATGATTGCAGAGTACAGTTGACGCTGTTGGTATTTTTTAAGTGTTTTGGTAGGCACTAAGGAGGCATGCTGAGATGCAAATGTTTCTTTCCTTTGAAAATGAGTATGCTAATATGATTTTGGAAGATGTGACAGTTAAATGTTTAACTAAAAATTCATAACAATTTGCCAGAGGTGACAAAAATCATGCAGTTTCAAAGAGGTGTTAAATTGTTCCTATTTATATTTCATTCTTTATTATTTTGCTTTTCTGAAAATTGTATCATGTGACGCAAAGAACACATAGTCTTATTTTTCTGTGTTGAATTTGATCTCATTGTGGACCAGAGACTTCAGAATTAGAGTGTGTAACTGTTTACACTGAAATAAAACTGCCTCCCAATCTGGGCTGCAGAGATGTTCTCCTCAGCACACAACTTCCACTCCCTACCTTCCGTCTGTGGCTGTCTTGATAGCAAAGTCATGGCACGGGTTTTCCCCTGTAACTAGCAAATTAGAGTGGTATGATCAATTGATATTAACAAGCTTTTTTCATTCATTGGGTATTTCTACCCTAATTTTTGTCCTTATAGCCTAAATGGCCTTTGTATTCTTAATTTTCAAGTTGTTGAACCTGCCATTAGCCAAAGCAATAATACAGATTCCCACCTCTTTAAAAACAAGGTAGCAAAACAATAGGGAGATGTAGCAGAAACAGAGCTAAATGCATGATTGAGATCTTTTCTGGCTTCTTTTTCTCTCTCTGTGTATTCCTTAGTTTGCCACAGAGTTCTCTCTCTGCTCATTAGCAAGGATCGTTCTCCATAATGTTGTAATACTTGTTCTTAAACCCTGTCAATAAACTAAACAATGAAACACTTAACTGGATGCACAACCTCTCAGTTAATATATTCTTTTTTATTGTGACAAGAAGGTGTTAACCTCATTCTGATGTTAATCTCATAACAGCACTTAATTTTAATTAGAAAATAGAAATCCTGAAAAGCATGTAAGAAGATTACAAAATAACAGTTGTTTTGTTTGTCTGTTTTTTTCCTTTTTATAAATGCAACATTCACCTTGGGGAATGGGTCTTTGCCCAGCTTTTATCTATCCAACAAAGAGTTTTTGGCTGAATGTAAGAATAGGAGGATTTATTTTTTAATTCAGTAGTCTTCATGTATATTGTGCTACAGCTTCATGCAGTGCTTCTGAGATTTTAAAATCACCATCCAATCCCTCATCTATTTTATGTTGTGTTTCTGAACCTGTTTATTCAAGGATGTCAAAATGTTTTACTAACAGAAATTGGCAATAAATCTGCAAGATCACTGGACAGTTTTTATATCTTCAGTGTCAAATGAAATTCAGATGCAGAAAGCTTTCTCAAATTATTAAGCAACTTTTTGACTGAAATAAAATTATGGACAAAATTTTGCATAGACAAATGACTTCAAATAGTGTCCTAGAATATGAAAGATTGCAGAGTTTAGGATGCAAAAACACATTTTCTGGACTCGAGGCAATTGGAAAGTACAGAGTTGAGAAGAAAAGGTTGCTGTTGCAGTGAGAAAGGTATGATAAATTTCAAATGGAGGTGCAATTTTGACCACAAAAATCTCTTCCTCTTTAGATAGTTTTACTACACGTATTTGGGGGTAACATGTAGTGGGACCAGTGCCACACAGATTTTATAAGGACTGCATGAAAGAGTTTTTTAAAGTCAGGATGGCCTGCTACACTGCATTATATGAGCACAGCTGCTCATGAGGGTCCCTGTCATTAGGGTCAGGGTTTTTTGGTCTGGTTTACAACATCACTCTCTGCTGAACTGGCACTAGTGAGTAGATAACACAGAAGAAACCCAAGAAGTTCGGAGTAAGAGAGGAGCAGGAATTGTAGGCTGCAAGCAAGGGTATATGTAAGAATGTGATTACAAAAGGTTAATGCCCAACTTCTCCAAACAATTTTAGCTTGTGTGCTCTGTTCTATTAATAAATTTGAACTTGAATAAAATGTAATGTAAACTACAACATGAGCAGATCACTTGGGGGAAAAGTCACACATCTCAAAAAAGACTGTAGTGCCTTTGAGGGTATCTTGCATTGTCAAAATTACGGTTTTGATCCCTTTTTCACCTCTACAGCTGAATTTCCTCTAAGGGCTGAGACTACAGGAATTTGAAATTGTCAGCATCTGAAATACCACCTTCTGCACAACATCCAAAGTGTCAGATGCATCAAGCAGTCATGGTATATCTGGACTTCAGCATCAGGTAATAAATGAAAAATCACTAGTTTGTGATTAAATGGGACCAGACAGGCAGACAGGGTGTCCCAGGCTTACTCCAAAATACTTTGTGGTGACCTTGATCAGATGCAACTGAAGGAATGAAGAAGATTCAAAAAGTCAGAGAGTGAGTTCCTATAGAGATATGCAAATTATGAGAGAGCAGTATGAACCAGCTGGCCCTGCAGCCTGCTCTGAAATTTTACAAGAAAAACCTGGTAAGAAATGATGGCATGTATCTGAATTTCTGAGCCAAAATAATTGCTGTCTCCTGGAGGAATAACTTGTCAATGAAAACACAATGAGCTTAAAGATAAATAATTCACGTTGACTGTTGTCATGAATAAGAGGTACAGCAGAAAAATATGTTTCAAGTAATGACCCCAAATCTTGCTATATCAACTATCAGCAAAGAAAGATGAGAATTTTGTAAAGTAACGTTTGCCTTAATTTTGCACTGCTAAAAGCCTTCTTATTCAAACCCTCTTACACCCCTGGAAAGGGTAGCTGAAGTTTGTAGGCCAGTGAGACACTAATACTATCTTCAGGAGCACTGAAGGCTCCAGGAGGCTCACAGGGGAGTATTTCATCTTGAGGCCAAGAAAAGGCATTTGTAGAGCCTATTAACAGTTTGCTCTTCTGCTGCTGCTGTACTGGAAGTTGCTGCAGGCCTTCTCCATCTGGAAGCCCTCTGTTACCTGCTCTGACCTTGCTCCCTGGTAGGTGAAACTCTGGCTCAGATCTGATTTTGAACTACCTGTGAGATAGTCTAAAATATATTAGAATTAAAAGAAAATTAATAATACACAAGTCTCACATAACTGTTAATCAGAAGAATGAAAAAATATGGAGTAGGCCCACTTTCTATAATGTTAAAGCAGTTGTTCTGATGCTATTGCAAAAACTGCTGATTAGCACTGTGCTGGTTTGGTTCTGGCATGGTTTTGGTAGCAGGCTAGGAGCCCCAGGGGTAACTCCTGTAAGAAGCTACTAAAAGCTACCCCAGCTCAGGTGGCTAAGGCAGGGTCCTTAGAAAGACAATAGATGTGCCTCTACAATTACCATACGAAAGAACTGATGTAAGACTTGAGGAGAGATTAACCAGGGGAGAAAGAGCTGTGCTGGAGAGGTGAGAGCAGTGGAGAGGGTGAAGATCCTGAGGTTGCAAGGAAAAAGGGGCCTATGCAGAAGTTTCCCTGCAGCCCATGGGGAGATGGCAGGGTGTCCTGCTGCATTCATGGAGGAATATGGTAGAACATTCCCGGAAGGCACCAGAAGGGGCGAATGCACTTGCAGCCCGTGTACTTGGATCCTCAGACATGGGGGACCATACATCAAGGAAGGTGACGGCTCCCGAAGCAGCCCTTGACTGTGAGAAGCCCACGCTGGAGCAGCTCCGAACCTCGTGGGAAGGACTCATGAAGGAGAGGTTTGTGGAGGGCTCTCTCCCATGGGAGGGACCCCATGGGGCAGCAGGGACGGACTGTAAGGAATCCTTCTTCCTGAGGAGGATGGTGCAGCAAGAACCACCAGCCTGTGAACTGACTAATCTGACATGGAATATGTTTTCTGAGGACTTGTAGATTTGCATAACATCTTTATTTCTGCTCAAAAAAAAATGTGTCCTGGCTAATGAGAGAGGCAGAGTTGTGTAGACACTGTATATTTGCTGTGATTTAAGTTCTGTTTGTCATCCTGCCACAGGTCTTCAGGGTGCTCTCGAGGAAATAATTTTATTTTCCAGCATCTTCTTCTCTATCTTGAAGAGCAACTTCTATATTTTTAGAACTTTGAGAGGAGAGGTAGATATAATTGTAACTCCTTTATAAGGTGCCTTGGCATCTAATATTTTCACAAGTCTAGAAAACAGTTAGTTAAGTGTATAAGCTGGACTATACCTTGTAATTCAAATTAAATTGTTTAGATTTCAGGCATCTGAAGAAATGTTGTAGAAAAATACCAAGCATACTACCAGATGTTCCTGTCCACAGGTCCCTAGCAGGAGGTTTCATACTTTAACAGAAACAGCTGACAGTAAGAATTGGTAATGCTGGAGAAATATCACTGGGGTCTTGGCACGCTAGGAGGTTCCTGGGCTTTGCCTGCTGTTTTCAGTAAAAGTCTTATAAAACCATTGCTACAAATTCAGTAAGGGTGGCATGTTCAAAATGAACGGTCCAAAAAACCAACTGCCACCTTTGCTATCACACATATTTTCCCATCATATAACAAAAAACATTTGAAGACAAAAGTCTGCCTGTAGCTCTAAATGGCTGAAAATGAACAGAAAGGAGAAAAGCATCATCCAGTGATATGCTGACAGTCACTAAAAACAAAGGAGCTAAGAAAAAGACATTGGAAAGCTGGAGGAGACAGGAAAATTGATTATGGGCCTAGAAATATTGGCATACGTGGAAAATGAACTAACCACATGATGCCAGTCTACTGGTATTTGATGAAAGTGTGTAACAAAGACAGAGAACTGTGTATGGTTAATAATGGGGAAAAAGCAGTAGGAGCTATGGGCTGAAATCAAGGAGAGACTCCTTTTTTAAAGTTATCTGTTAGCCTGAGGTCCTGCCTAAACTGCAGAAGTTGGAATTCCACTGACTGTGATATTTGAAGACAGAAACCAATTCAAAATCTGAAAGATTCGTTGCATGTTCTCCTGCAACAGACCTTTCCTACTAAGTATTTCAGGTTGTAGCATTCGTGGGATGATAGCAAATGATGTAATTTAGATATAGGATAGGGATGTATGAAATGATAAGAAGCAGGTGGGACTCAAGCATATATTCAATATATGGAAAACTTTGATGTGTCAATATTTAAACCTTTTTCTTTGTAATGTGATGCATGTTTCACATCTTTATGCTGATTTAAAAAAAACCAACAACCAACTTTTAGAAAGATCAGTCTTACCAGGAAATTGTGCAGAGCTTTCTGAAAATCAGAAGATTAACAAATTATGCGTGCTTGGATTGAGATTTTTTTACAAAAACAGAAGCTCTAATTCCTAATTTGTCAAAACTGCAAGTAGGCATGGCAAACTCTGATAAGAATCCTAAGATATTTCTCATATTGTTTTCTGATAGATATACCATGCTCAGGTTGCATGTCATTGTTATATGTTATATCAGCAGAAAAAACCCCCAACTTTTAAAATTATAGTAATAGTCTTTAAAAAACAAAACAAGACAAAAACCTACACCAAAATCCCATAAAGATCAAACATGAAATTGTATTAAGGCCAGTTTTTGAGGGAGACAACTTTATTTATATTTCAGACTTTAATGCTGTACTAAGGAATAAAAATATACAGTTTAATTCAATACTAATTTTATTTCAGAGGAAAAATATTTTGTTTCTACTGGACCTTAGCATCCTTCATATGTAGGTAAAACATTAAGTGGGTACAAAGCATTGCTGGATAATACTATCTGCAGTTAAACTTACTGTACACCTGCAGTTGTCCTCTGAAGACGTTTCTTCCACGTGAATTTTCAGCTTTACATTCATACATCCCTGCGTCCTCTAGCTGCACATTAGGTATTTCAAGCACAGCTTGGGATTTTCTCAGGCGCGCTTTACTTGGATTATGGCCATTAACTTTCCTCCAAGAGATTGTTGGAACAGGGCTGAAATATTTAGTAAAATTGCTGTTAGGACTCTTCCACTATTGAGAATATAGATTCTGTTACCTGGAAGTTTAAACACTTAATAATCTAAGTAGCAATAATATATAACCACAATTAAGGTTCATATAATGCCTGATATACCTCACTTTCTGTAGGGAATCTTTAATAAATGGTTTGTTACATAGAATGTGTCTCTTTCATCCACAAGGGAGACCAAGATTTTACTGAGATCAAGTAAATCACTGGAAATACTCTCTCTAGAGCTTCTTTAGCACTCTGCTTTACTCCTGAACACTTCCACTCAATAGACAAAAGAAAATAACACCTTCAAAACCTTGAAGATTTTAGCAATTCCAACACTTCCCAATACTCCTGCAAAACAAACTGCAATTCAGGACATCAGTGGTAATGCTCATCCAGGTGGGGAATTTCAGTACTGCTGTATTTTAGACAAATTAAAGTGATGAAACTTTGGACATCTCTTCTGTTGCAATATCTTTTAAGTTACAAAATCGGTTGCATAAGAAGTATATATTAATGGCAGTACTGCTTCTGACTCATTACACACTTGCTCGTGCTCTCTTCATATTGCTATTCCATACAGGTCTATGTGGAAGCTGAGTCACTTACATTGATACTGAAGGAAGAAATGGATAGTGTTTTCACTCATTCGATTTTCTTTTTAGCCCAAACACTCATCAGTCACTGTGCACAAACTGGGCTTTTTGATGCAGACATGCATTTATCTAAACATGGCAGTGGGTGTTTAAGGGGGAAGAAAAAAATGAACAAAACAAAACCAAAATTAAAATAAAAAGGAACTCTGCTTATGAAATCTTTCATTAATCTTTCATTAGATTCAAATTCAAAGCTTTTATTAAGTTCTGCCACCATTTACTAACTTTCATTTATTATAACTATATGAAGTTTCATCAAATAATCACCTTTCTCTCAGTAAGTCCGAGTGTCCAATTTGAGACGCAATGGCAACCACGTATGGGTAAAACTCAGACTTTCTTTTCAGACATGATGTTCTAAATTCTAGTATAGAGATTCAGAAAATTCCCAGACTTGTAGTTGGTGGTCGAAAGGTTCATCGAATCTTGTCTCCTGAATGTCACAAATTACTGGATTGCATAGATCCTACTAGGATAATTACATCACAAGGTTTGTTTCATGGCCAACATATGGATCTATATGGAACAGTATCCACCATTTATTTGGGTATACCAGAAAGCGATAGTAATTGTTTCCCTTAACAGTTTACTGCACTGATTAATTAACCTAACAAAGACACTTTATTTTAAGTATGTGTGGATTCATCTCTAAGGTATAGTTTCTACAATATCACTCCATTCTTGCAAAATGGTCCTTTATCACTTTCCCTCTACTTCCTCCACAGTGTTGGGGATAATAAATGTATGGAAATCACATTGCCTGTTTTTTTTTTTTTCTTTTCTCAGTAAACCAAACAGACTGATCTCTTTTTCTACAGGACTCCAAACATGCATTTTCTTTTTATAGATGGCTGAGGATCATAGGACGGGTCTGGGTCTTATAAACTCTTCCCCTCCCCGCTGTATTGTGTTACCATAAAAACTTGATAGCTTGCTCATTATTAATCTTTAAATTACTTTCTTGCTAACCAGTTTCAAATTTTGTTGTCCTGTAGGTTTGGTTTGAGGATTCTTTGTGCATCTCACTTTGTTCTAATCTATAATGTTTGCTTCCTATTAGAAGTTATTTTACATACTTTTCAATTAGAAGGTTAAAAAAACTTCCCATTAACTGAACAAAGTAATTAAACCTGTTAAATTTTAAATATGTAGAATAACTAGGATATTTCTGTTTCTGATGCACTAATATAACTTACTGATTTTACCCTACCACTTGTGATATTCCTTTCACATCCTTAGCTACATATTTTTATTTGTTATATTTGATAGCTCTTTGTATATCTTAGTAAAATGACAATTTTTTTCCACTTGTTGACTCTCATTTCTAATTGCACACCTGACATTTATATTAAAAGTTATATTTTTTCTTGAGTGACTTTCTGGAGATTTTTTTTAACTCTCTTGTTCTTTTGCACTCAGCTTGAAATGTAAACTGCTTGTATGTTTGTCCTCTTCCTATACGGAATATGATTATGTCATGATTGCTGCCTGCAAAAAATCATGGCCAGGCAAGTGTTTAATTAATCATCACAGATCATAACAAAGGTTTACAGTATGAATACTTTATGCTAGTACAGTGCAATACTAGTCAGTAACTTCTGTTTTATGAATGAGATAGGTGGGCAGTTACACTTGATTTGGCACCATAAGGGTGCTATCCTTGTTGCCTGTTAATGCTTACTTGCCCTTCAGCTCTACTTCCTGTAAAATCAGTGACAAAAAAGTTTCTGCTCTATTGTTATGGAAGAAAATTGGTTCTGCTGAATAGAACTGGTAAGTGGGATTTTTTTATAGTGTATATTTCAGAGAAACAATTAATTCATTGTAAACCATGAACATCGTCTCATACAGCTGCTATGAGATGATTATGAAATTAATGTATTTGGAAATTTCCTTTAAATTGCATTTAACTAATTTTTTAAAAAATTGCTTTTGTGTATGCTACAGAAAGCAAATATATATAGCATGGCAAATACAGAGGAAACTTTCTGTTCTCTGCACCATTAGGAAACATTTTAAGAAACTTCACTTTATTTTCTTCACCAGTATGAGACAGTAACCACAGTTTTACAAGGAGATAAAATTACTTTAGCTGTGTAGATTTAATGATTTCAAAGGAAAGTACTCCCAAACTGCAAATCACTAGTCACAGACAACTTGTAGTTCTGTTTAATGAAGCTTCTGATTTTCCTTGCATAACTTACAAGTGAGGGATGAATTTTACATCTGAAATAAAAAGATGTCAATATGTATTTCTCCTCTGTGGCTTTTGTGAGAATGAAATTAAAGCATGAAATATATCGGAGTGAGTTTGTGAAAGAATAAAGTTATGTGACTTCTAGAAAACTCATAAAATCCCCCATAAAAGTTAACATAAGCACATATTGTTCATCTTTTCAAATAATTCACAGCTTTTTATAAAAACAGAGCAACAGAAGTCTCTCTAACATTAATATCAGTTTAATGTAAGAAACATAATTGTTAAATCTTATAATATTATAATCCATATTTTTTTGTCTCAGCAGACATCTGTGGGAATGTAGTTTCCTTATTTGTTATAACCCTGTTCACATTCAACTCCTGTAAGTCATTATACTTCACTGTGGGTTTGTTCAGATGAAATTTGAAGAAAATACGAGTTATAGTTTTACATTCATATATAGAACAGATTGTAAAAGAGAATTTTTGGCAGCATATTATTTGGGGTAACTGTTACTGAAATTGTTGGGAATTCTTTACAGGCTTCTTTGGAAATAGAAATCTTTTGAAAAAATATTTGGAGGAAATTTGATCCTTTTTTTGTTCTTCCTGTTTCATCTGAAAAATAATTTAAATAGATCTATAAAATATATTTATTTCAGGAAAAAGGTGAGGTGGGAATGACAGGAATATTAACATTTTAAAATTCCTTTTCCATGGACCTGAACTCTTAGTTTTTCAGCTGTATCTTAAATAAAAATGCATAGGTTACTTTTTCTGTTTCTTATTGGCACAAATTGATGTGCTATTTCAATATATTTTACCTTCTGCTGCAAAATCAATTCTACTACACACTATGTCTCCTTACCACACATGACTGTTCTGAGCTGTCTTCAAAAGCACAGGTTCAAATCATAACATAGCTTGAAAACTTCTGCATGCCTGTGCATTTGAGACTATAAAAAAGACTTTCCCCTTGTACCCTGTAGCCCTGCAACTGTGTTAAATTATTTCCAATTATTACAGGATAATTATGTAGGATTTAAATGGTGAGGAGTATCATGAAATTCTCTTCAAGAGATACTTTCCAGAAACACTCATCCACCATTCACAATTCTATCTTCAGAACATTCCATGTAAATCTGTTCTGGTCAGATAGAGATTTAGGAGACAAGGTAATAGGATGTCCTTTCATTTTATTATTAAAAAGTAGTAATCATGAAATACAGCAACTGTGATTACTGGTGATTTCAGAGTAGAAATAGGATAGAAGGAAATGGTGATGAGTTTCAAACCTGTGTGCAGGAATGAGCCCAGGTCTGCAATTCACATCAACACATATCCATGACTGTACTAAAAAAGTCTGATGCATATATCGATGTCATATACTAATGTCAATGTGCTGCCCACCACTGCTGACTTGGTCTTTGTAACACAGAGCCAAGGACATTTTGCCTGCTTGGCTACATGTCCTGCTCCACGTCATTTTCTTCACACTGTATATCCTAATAAGTTAGAGGATCTCTAACATCCAAAATAGTGCTATGGGCAATGATTTAATACCTGTAATGAATTATTATTCATAGTGAATTATACTCCAGAGGCTTCTCTGTACTGATTGATCAGAGCCTAAACTGTTAATTCAAACTTGATGCTTAACTGTTTGATGGCTAAAGTCAGATAACATACCTGACACTTCCGATGATTTCAAAGATTTTTAGTAAATCTATAGAAAACCTGTGGGACAGAGGGGTTGTTGTGCTGCTACAACTCTTTTGAGGACAAGAGGAAGACCTTTTTTTTTTTTTTTCCTTAGCCATCCAGTGATCCTTTTCATCCTAGTCTCTGTATCACACCCTATCTCAGCTTTCTGGATGGAGGCACTCTGAAGCAAGGGAACATCCTACTGGAAACTTAAAAACATAACAATGGGTAAATTGACACCAGCCTGTGACTTTATCAAGGTTGTTGAGAATCAAGAATCTGAAGCAACTTGGAAAGTAAAAGGCGTGTGACATCTTCTGTATTAGCATAGGGGATAATACATGAAGAATCCACAGATTTAAATTAGAGGAGACAAATGTTTTGAAGCAGAAAATCTTCCTGAAAAGCTGACAAGTTTTT